TGTACTTTTACAGCAGTATAACACAAGGTTAATATATTAATGTTTACAAATTTCATTCATTTTGAGAAATATAATAAAGGCGGATTGTTTTGTTTTTATTTTACTTTATATATATACTATGTATTCTAAATAATTTTTTTTTTCGTAATTTTTTTTTTAAAAAAAACAAAAAAAAATGGCTATTTTAATGAATCATTTTTTATTAATACTAATAATTTTCAATTTACTTTTATCAGATAATTTCAATTTTTTGGTTTCTGGTCAATTATTAAATATAGTAAATCATGTTCCATTTATATTAAATGATAAACTTTATTTTTTTGGAGGAGTTTCTGATAACTTTAAGAGACCAGACCAAATTATTTATCTAGATTTATCCACACCATTTTCACTCAAACCACTACCAATAAAACAAATTCTTCCAAACCCAGTAATACCTTCATTTGATGCTGCATCATTAGCATTAGGAGGAGCTAATAATGATACACTTTATGTTATAGCTGGGTCTAGAGGTGCAGTACCTGGTTCTGTAGCTTATGGATCCATAGTTTATTCAATAAATATAAATTTATTTGATAAGTGGATTCCAATGACCCTTGATGATCAATTACAACTAAATAAGGTTAGCACAACAAAATTTACACAAGATAATTATGGAAACACATATATAATAGCATACAATGATCCAAATATATATAAATTTGATACTAGAAATTTGATATTTACAACACTAACACCAAGTAATGTTGGTCCACCTTTAACAAGTTTGTATGATTTCAGTTCTCATCTGTTGAATGATGAAACCATAATTTCTTTTGGAGATGATATAACTATCGTAAATGTTATGATTTATTATTATTTACTATTGTCATTTTATTAAAATCAAAAGAGTAATAATTTATTGTATTTATTTAGATATACCAATATAACATTATTCAAAATTCATGGTCTAAAAGTGTAAGTTATATATGGTTGTTGATAATTCAATTAATAACAATCAATAAATATTTCTATTTCTATTATATTAGACAACAATTGGTGATCCACCTTCCAAACATCTAGGTCATTCTTCAGTATTAGGTAAAAATTAATTATCATTTTTTATTATTTAATTAATACATAAATAATATATATATATACATTTATTTTTAGCACCTGATGGAAGAATAATTGTATATGGTGGTACTGTTCAACCAGACAAAATAGCAATATTAGACACAACAAAATCTCCTTTTCAATGGACTGTTCCAACAAATATTACTTATCCTGCTGACCTGATTGGTAAATTACATGGTGGGCATGCTTCAGTTTTATATAAAGATTTCATGATAATCTCATTTGGTAACTTATAATAATCATTTTTAAAATTCTTACATAAAATATATTATTTATTTATATTTAATTTAATTTATATTTGTTTATAATAATAATAATAATAGGTAGGATGTATACTACTGTCCCAAAAACCTATGCGTATTATTCTAATATTATAATATTAGATATTGGTGACAAATATAATTATAAATGGTTGGACACATTTCCAGCTCCAACTCCAGTCACCACCAGTGTTGTTCCTAATCAACCAACTACAACCACCTCCAGTGTTATTACTGATCAACAAACTCCAACCACCATCAGTGCTGATCCTTCAACAGTTACAACCACTACTAGTGTTTCTACTGAACAAACTGCCGATGATAAATTTAAGCTAGCTATAATTATTGGATCAGTTACATCTGGTGCATTCATCATTGCTTTTATTGCTATTCTTATTTTATATAAAAAAAAAAATAAATCTAATGAAGTAATTAATAATGTTGTTAATATTGATGAAAAAGACAGAGAATTAAATCAGCAACTTCATAATAAAAATGAAAATAAAAATGGAAAAAATGCTACCAATATTGAAATTATTTCAGATAATAATACTAAAGCTATAGTAGATAATAGAAATATCTTTGATAATATTAATATTAAAAAAGACAATGATCAGACTTTTGCATTAGATTCTAAAGTAATCATTCATAAAGTAATTCTCCCGTCTGGAGAAAAAGTTAATAAAATTTATTTATTAAACAATGATTAGATTTATAAATTAGTGAAATGCTATTTACAATTTCCCAATTTATTTTGCTTTCAACATCAAATTTACATTTAAATCTTTGGATCAAATAGACACAACAAAATATTATCATAGATTTTTTTTTAATATTAAATATTAAATTAATGTTTCAAAGTAATAGCTTATAAAATAAATAATAGAGATTTTATATTAAAATTTTTTTCTTTAACACCCAATTCTAAGATTTTATTGTATAAATAATAATAATAAATAAGGTCCATTTAGTGTTTGTACTTCATAATAGTAGAAATATTCGGATGTATCCGTAACCTCTTAGTGACTGTCAAAACTCTGTCAAAACTCTGTCGAAACTCTAATGAACAATTAGTATATACCTTGTCAAAACTCTGACGATTGACAAAACCCCAAATGCGAAACTCTGCTGAAAATCTAATAAACAATTAATGTGTAACCTGTCGAAACTCTGTCAAATGATTTCCGGAGAAGCAAATTTTAAAAGTATAGAAGTCACTTTCTGTCGATATTTCTTTTAAATTCAAATACTTCTTTGGTTTGTAAAGTGATTTGCTCTATCGTCAGAAAAGTGAGCCAAGTCATCATGTTGTTTCTGTTTCACCACAACTTTACCAGTAATGTGACTGGCAGTTACATTACTAAGGCTCCGAACGAATCGAATCGAATCGAATTCTAGAGTGATTTGTTTCGATTCGATTTGATTTGTGACTCGATTCGATTCAATTCGAATCAAACCGGATTCCTAAATTTTTCTTAATGTCATACATATTAAATACAATGAATCTCAATGTAGTGTACCTCAATTTAATGGATAATAACAGATTGAGGTTTAATAATGATAAAAATAATAAAATTCTTCTCAATATAACGGATTTCTTGATATAGTCATAGAAAAATTTTATGTTTTTATATCAATATGTTAATGTGAACAAAAAATTTTAAAAATCCGTTGATAAGATTTAATTATTATTATAGTCCGCTGTGACAAGGTTTGAATATAATAATAACGAATTTTTCTAATTACCCATACTATCTGCTAAACCAAGATTGTGTATATTTTAAATTTTTTAATTGATAAAGGATATTATTTAGTGATGGTAGCCGAAACTGTTTTTGAAAAAAAGGTAGTTTCGTCCAATACATATAATAAGTATCTAAATCAATCTACGGTTTTTAAAAACTCCCAATTTCAGCCATTAAAATTATTTTCGTCAAAGTTTAGGCCAATTAATTTCGGCAAATTCGGCCTACTAAGCGTAGTTTCGGCCACCGTCACTAGTTCGAATCGAGTTGAAATGAAACATCTCGAATCAGTTCAAATCAAATTGAATCGAACCAGTTCGAATCAAATTATATATTTAATATTCGAACCAGTTAGAATCAAATCGAATAGAATAGGGTACAATTCGAATTGATTTGAATTAAAAATTAGGTGATTCGAATCAGCTCGAATTTCATTGATTCGTTCGGAGCTTTAGTGACCGGAACACAAGAGACAGAAATTTAGCCAAACAAGAGCAATTTATTTCTTTGTTAGAAAAAGGAATTCAATTAGAGAATAAATTGTGTGATATAATTCTTAAAGAAAACATCAAAGATTAAGGTCATTAAATCTTTAAATAAAAATTTATCTTAGTTTGCAACTATTGCTTATAGTTTTACATTGAAGTTATATGTTATTAATTATAATACCTTACTTACAGTGGTTATTATATAGAGTTAGTATGGTATGTTATATAAATTGCATAAAATTTGCAAATCATACCATACCATCTGCATGAACCATACCATACTTAATGTTACCATTAAGGTTGTGGGCGAAACTCCTCCAGAAATCAATCAACAGAGTTACACATTAAATGTTTATTAGAGTTTTGGAAGAGTTTCGCATTTGAGGTTTGTCAATCGTCAGAGGTTTGACAAGGTATTTACTAATTGTTCATTAGAGTTTTGACAGAGTTTTGACAGTCACTAAGAGGTTTTGGCAAGCAACCTTAGTTACGTTACTGATTATTTATATATATAGGTAAAGAAAATTTTAATATCTACTTTTAAAATAAATGATTTTACTATAAAAGACATACCTAAGTGATCAAAAATCTGTAATAATGTAATATTTGGACATTTATTTCTACTTATACTTGCAATTGGACACAACAAACAAAATTTTATGTATATGAATATAAAGGCACAATTTGGCTTTAAGGGTCAGATTATTTTCGGTTTTATTAACAACCTGCCTTAAAAATTTTCTTAAAGCAGATACATATGATAAAGAAGTTACATCTCAAATTTGGTGGTGGTTGCTACACAGCAAGGGTATCAAACGAGGGTGTGAGGACATTCGATTATAGAATGTTACTATGTTTTACAACCTCCTATATATCGGCGGGAAATGTACTCTGACCGTTAATATTTAAATAAAAAATAGTTAATACTAATAATTCCATCCGTGCTAAAAACGCCGTAAAATAAATTCTGAAATTTTATTCCTTTTTGGTTTAGATTATGCAGACAAAAAATCAATCAGAGAAAATGAAACTACAAATCTCGAAATTTTTAAGTTTCTAATCTTTGTATTTGTGACGAATTGTATTTGTATATAGTACATCAACTTTATATTTCCGTACTCCGTGTAGCGAACCGGTCTCCACGCTATTAATTATTTATACTATTGATTGTAAAGGCATATATAGTTACTTAACATTTTATTATTATCTATATATTTATTTATTAAAATTTTTTTTTCCTAAAATTTCTAAACGAATCTATGCACGGCTAAATTGCAGTCTTAATTGGGAATCATAGTAAATAAAATAATTTGTTAAAATTTCAGACATTTGTTATTAAAGGACATTTGTTACATTATTATTTAAGTTCCTCAAATAAAGATTTTTTATTTTCAAATTGATTTTTTTTCGTTATACTGAAAATAATAGAGACGTAAAATTTTTTACAGAGCAGAAAAGGAAGATAATAATTTGTGTAAAAAAAAATCAAATTTTCACAACAGCTATAATGTACCAATTACACGTTTTTAAATTGCATATTAATATTAATATCTAAATTAGATCTGCGAATCACCGCTTTTTCCCATATGGATATTTATTATTATTATTATCGTGTGATTGAATTCAATTTACGAATTTTGTTTGAATAACAACAAACAATGACAATAAACAAAGTTTTAGTAAAATTATAATAATCGTTATAGGTACTATTAGGTATTGTATTGTTTATATTCAACTAGTCACAATTTAGTGATTTAGTTGTGAAAATAAAATTTTTTACAGTTCTCCAGTTCATTAATATTTATAAACATTATTTTCAATTTCAGAATATCCAATTTTTATTGGTGGGTTGGGTGCGTGTTATCCTTATTTAGAAATCGATTTGGCGATTACAGATATTTTTGTGGATTAAAGTTTTTTAATATATAGCCAAAATAAAACAAACTACAGACAGGTATCACACTTACACACATTTAGAGAGAGAAAGTAAATTACATAATAAAACAATTTGTTTTGTTTTGCTTTGCTTTACACAAAAATAAAGTTGTATCTTGAGGGAAATGTAATAAAAAGCAGACTTATTTTATTATGTATTTTTCCAACTATTTTTTTTTTAAAAAAAAATGGCTAGCTAATTTAATGAATAAGTTTTTATTAATAATAATTTTCAATTTGTTTTTATTAGATAATTTCAAGTTTTTGGTATCTGGTCAATTATTAGATATAAAATGGCATAGTTCAATCATATTAAATGATAAACTGTATTATTTTGGAGGAAATTCTGCCAAGTCAGGACTTACAAACCAAATAATTTACCTAGATTTATCCACACCATTTTCACTTAATCAACCATTACCAATAAAGCAAATTTCTCCAAAATCTCAAATACCCCCATTTTCTTATGCATCATTAACATTAGGAGGAGCTAATAATGACACACTTTATATTATAGCTGGAAATAGAGGTGCAAAACCTGGTTCTACAGCTTATGGATCCATAGTTTATTCAATGAATATAAATTTATTTAATATATGGACTCCAGAAACCCTTGATGGACAATCACAGTTAAATAATGTTGCTGATACACAATATACACAAGATAATCATGGAAACATACAGTATGTAACAAAAAAAACCGGTGCAATTTAGAAAAAGGATGTTTTTTGTTCTTTCTAGCAGCCAATTGCCACTATATCCTATATAGAGACCATTCCTGAACCTATCACAAAGATTGATATGCTAATTTGATTTAAATCGGATTTTTGAAAGTCAATTATTTTAAGCTCAAAATTTATTCATGAAGACTTTGATTTAAAAATGTGCTATTAGTTATGTGATGGTTATTCAACAATGTTCATATATTGAAATGCCAAATTTTTTGGTAAGTTTGTTAAGCAAGACATAGAGTAATGAATGCTAAAAACTCCAATGAATTGGAATGACTTTTGGCAAATTAATGAGAAATGAATTTGCTGATTTTTATAATTGAATTTTTAAATGAAATAAAATTGACTTCATTTCCTGATATTAAAAGCAATTAAAATAAGTTTCATATAAAATTTATATTAATAAAAACTTCTGATTTTCGGCTTTCTTTTCGATGTATTTTTATCTATTTTCATTCAACCATTATTGAAAACAAATAAATAAAAGATTTCCAGTTTTTTTTGTTACACACTGTATAGTGCAACTTTTATTGCATCTGTGGAAGTTGCCTTAAACTCAACTGATTCTTTAAAAATTTCTCCCACAAAAAGATTCATTTGGTGAGCATAACATGGCAAAAAAGTAATTTGTACATGTTTAACTTGAAGCCAACGTCTATAAAGCCATTATTAAACATCAAAAGAAATTCTCATAAAATCTATAAATATTATTACAAATATTATTAAAAAAATATATATATTCACCTAGCAGCTGCACTATCAGACACAATAGAAATCAGATTAGCTCCCATATTAAAAACTTTCTCAATCATTATTTCAGCTTTGTTATATACTTCTCTCCACCTATCAAATTCACCACTAATGTCATCTCCTTCCCATATTAGCACCTCTCCTTCTGAAGTTATAAATACAGAACCAAATATATTTTGGTTTATTACATTGGTCCAACCATCAAAACACAAAGTAACACCAACAGGATCATTTTTAATTTTATTTTCTAATTGTAATTCAAGACTTTTGACTTCATTGTTTAGGATACGCCCACCAAGAGCTTGTCGACCTGGTAGTTTTATTGTGGGGTTAATAAAAGAAAACAACTCATTCACTTCCTTATTTTCTACACTCTGCAAAGACCAGCCAGCAGAAACAGTAGCTCTAATTAATAGTTTTTCAAATATTGATACATTGTTTTTTGACATAGGATGAACAACAAAAGAGTCAAGTGAGCCTTTGGTTGAAATAGATGAATTTGATGAAGAGACTATAGAAAATTTTTAATATAAATTAAATGCATGTAATAATTTATAACAAATACAAATGAAATAAAAAATTCATTACTTTGTTCAAGATCTCTGCTATTTAAATTAATGGTTTCATCTGATCCAAAAAATTCATTGTATTTTTCAGGATGCATAATTTTAAAATTTGAACATTTCTTTAAATGCGCACTAATTCTCTCACTCTTATTAGGAATCTTGTTTAATAAAGCTGTATTATAACCTAGCTTCTCTTTGCAAGAGGTACATATGCAATATTTTTGCCACTTATCTGCATGTTCAGATAATAGTTGTACATAATTAATGTACTTGTGAGGCATTATTTCTTTAATTATTATAATGAAAGAAGGAATGAAATTATTTTCATTTATTTATTAATAATACAGTCCCCCAAAAAAGTAATGGCGGGGTGTTTTTTTATTATTAAAAAATTTTTTATATAACAATTATAAAAAAAAAAATTATTTTTAAAAAATTTAAAAGTAAAAGATTATATTTTTGAAAGATTAGAATATAATGAATTTTCATTCTATATTAATTCAAATTTGAATGTAATTTTTAAATAATTAATTTTACCAAGTACTGCTTTAATTTTTTAAAAAAAGGTCAAAATTTTTAATAACTTGACAAACATCAGTTGTATTATAATAAAACAACTATCAAAATGTTCACCTAGTTAAGCTGAATTCAATAAAGTCAAAATGATTAAAATCCAATTACTAGTTATTAAGAAAACAAACTTTAAAAGTTGTCAACAATTTTAAAGATAAAAAAACATCTCTATATTAAAACTTTATGAATTTCGATTTTTTAATAATAATCTTTTAACAAGTTATTCATTACTATTATTTATATATTTTGGTTAAATAAAATAAAATATTATTATGATAAATTTTGCATAATAATCCCACTGCCATTACTTTTTTGGGGGACTCTATAACCAAGAAAACGTGGGAGTTTTTTTTTATAAAATTTATGTGGTGTAACAATTTTTTGGCCGTTTTGGCCGTTTTTGCCAAATGGCCGTGGCCAAATGCCAACACTGATCACAAGGTTTGTAATGCTTAAGGGTAGAGACCTCCCTATAAATGATTTTCATTATAGAAAATGTCCACAAAATTTGGTGATCTGCATTACATATAAAAAAAAATACAATAATAAAAGTTTATAATAATATTATTTATTTTTGTCGAGAATTAAATAATTTTTCCCAATTTTCTTGCATTATCATTGCAGTAGCACCTTCAACGACACCAAATATATGAAGATTTGTCTGTAATATACTTCCATTTGAGTTTGGTCTATATAAGTTTATCATTACTTTCACTATTTTACGTATTATAAGCAGATCAAGCAAATGTAGTGCTTCAGCTTTAGTCTTAATCAATCTTTCTTGTTTAAACGTTTTATCTTTATAAGTATTCAACAAGGTGAGTTCTTCATGATCACATTTCAATTGACAATAAACCTGTATAATATTCTTTGGTGTAGCTATTTTACCATTTTCGTTCAATTTATTCACCACTTCTTCACTTACCTCTACCATTTTGAGCACATCTGACATCAAATTAACTTTAGATACAGGTTTAGCTTGTACTCGTAAACAGTTGTCACAATTTCCACATGGAGGATTCAGAGTATCACCATTCCATGCAAAATATTCTGCTAGCATATATTCTCTACAAGTATATTGCTCCTCACAAAAATAAACAACTTCAAATATTTTGGCTTGCCTTTTATCTATTTCAGAACCTTCATCTACTTCCTCAGTCACTCTACAAAAATCGTTTGTATTATTATTATTGGTTTTAATTTTACATTACAATATCAAAATACTTACAATTCTCTTCCTTGTGTTATAATTGTATAATTAGTACAAATATCATGACGGGAATAAAAAATCACAGATTTTGCAGAATTATGATCTCTTTCTGCTCTCCCTGTTTCTTGGACAAGATTGCCTATTATAAAAAGGTAAGATTATATTATATCAATCTGTTTAATTTTTAAAGCAGTAGTTAGTTACTTACCTATACTCAATGGAAATGTATAATGTATTACTAGGCGAATTTTTTTGTCATTAATTCCCATACCAAAAGCATTAGTTGCAATCATAATCTGAATTTTATTATCTTTCCATGATTTCAATTTTTTATTTTTTTCTCCATTACCTAGAGAACTGTAATACACTGCCATATCATATCAAGATCAGCTTTTTCACAGAGTAGTTCATAAACATTATCACACACATGCACTGTTGGGCAGTAGATAATGCATTTTCCATCTTCTAATTCTTTCAACAACATGATAATTTCTCTAATTAATTTCTCTTTAGTACTTTTAGAATGCACCTCTATTTTAAGCTCTGGACATGAAAAAGAAATTCCTTGAACAAAGGTAACATCAGATGGAGAAATACAAAGATTTTCCAATATTGCATGAGCATCAATTTCCTTGCAAGTTCCTGTAAGCATCATAATTGGGATATCGGGAAATAGATGGTGATTTTCCTAAGTTTGTTCCATGAAAAGTTAGATTACATTTATTTCAATAATAATTATTTTACTAAAAAGCCAATTTATTTTAGTTTTTTTACCTATAATGTCCACTTTCTATAATACAATGTACTTCATCTATTACAAAAGACACAGGTGAATTTTTGGAAAAGTTCAACAGCATTTTGGTAAATGATTCATTATAAACAAAACTTTCTGCAGTCACATATATGAGTTTTGTCAATCCAACAGCAATTTCTGAAAAGACTTTTTCAAAGTATTCTCGTGGCCTATCTTCACCAGTATAAATACTAGCACACCCAATTCCAGCAATCTATAAAAGAGTAAGGTAAATTTTCTTTCTTTTAAATATAAATCATTAATAAAACTTACCACTTGATCATCAATTAAAGATACTAATGGGCTTATTACAATGGTCAAACCTCCACGCATTATAGCAGAAATCCAATAACACATTGATTTTCCAGCACCTGTTCTCATTGAAACAAAAGTATGATTTCCATTAACATATTCTGATATTGCCATTTCTTGTGATTCTTGAAACTTTTGATATTTGAATACTTTTGTAAGCACATCATATGATGTAGGTGGATTAGCTTTCAAGTCTTGTGAAGGTGGTGTGTATTGATTATTTGGAAATTCATGATGATATCCAAATTTCAAACAGAAGTCATGATACTGACACAATCCTGTTGGAGAATACTTGGGAAAAGCATCACAAGCCAGACATTTTATAATTTTTTCAAAATCAAATATATATTTGGCAAATGTAGGTTCAAATTCTTTAGCTTTTATTTTTTCCTGAACACTACGTCCATAAGGTACATAATCCTAAAAAAAAAAAAAAAAATCAAAGAATATTAACATATTATTTAATATATTTCAAACCAGGTTGTTTACCTTGTCCCAATCAAATGTCTCAAGATTCCTTTTCTGTTCTTGAATCTTCTTACCACGTTCTTGATTTCTTTCAGCAATACTAATAACGTTTTTCTGATTTTGCTTTATTCGCTGTTCACTTATTTGATTAATATTATATTTGTCAGCTTCAGATAATTGTTGGATATTACAAGCTGACCTGGAAATTTCCAGCATATTCAATAAACCATTATTATATTGAAGAACAGCAAGGGCATGGCGTGTGCTGTAAGTTTTCCAATAATCAATTTTTTTATCCTGAAAACAAAGTTTTACACAATTGAATGCTTCATTGTATGATGTTCTAATGTGAGTAATTAAACTTTGTTTTGTAGGTATATAAAAAATTTTTTTGAGAAATTCTCTAAACTGATCTATTTGATTGCTTGTATGATCTCTCAAATGTGGTTCTTTTAATTGAATATCAGGGTTTCCTTTTCTCCAACATACTTCATCCCAACAAAGGCTATGATTATCTGAAAGGTCCACCAATCTGTACCTTTTCTAGTTCATCATCAGACACAGTAATTTTATTTCCATCAAGCTTTCTTCCACTTGCTGCATACACACATGAATTATAATAGGTCATAATTGTATTTTCATAATCTTTCCATATAGAGTTTTTTGCTGTAAAAAAAGGATAATAATAAGTGGATTATATAAAAACAGGTATGTGATTTAAGAAAGTTTACCAATCTTTGCCCTTATATTCTTTCCAACATGTTTCAAATCTGCATATACTTTACTCACACAAGGAATATTATTTAAAGTTTTATTTGAGTTTAGGTCACCATCTACACAAATATCCAAGAGTACTTCAGCTTCTTCCAATACTGGTGATATTTTTTCAATAATTCGTAACAATATTGCATGTTCCATCTGACGTGATGATTGCTCATGATTGCCATGAAAAACTTCATACTCTTTGCCATCTTTATTTTTCAACTGACGTGGTTTTTCAGCAGTAGAAAAGGCAATAACAGGTTTGTGGTCATAATCTATTTGTAAAAAAGACTTTTAATTAGCAATTCTAACCAATTAATAATATTGTATTACCTTCTAAATTTCCCTGAAATATTAGCTCTCCACTAGCTTGATTTGCATTTCGACAATGTGACCAGGAACAATCAAAACTAGCAGGAAGTATTCTTTCTCCTTTTGCTTTGATATATGCAATAGCTTTTGTTAAAGCAATTTGTGCACTAACTTCAGCTTCATTATTTATGCTTTTCAAATATTCATTTTGTCTATCATAATAATGACCTTTTGATGACTGTGTTGTTACTCCCATCATAGAAAAAATGGTTTGAAGTTGTCTCCTATTAACACCACCAACAAGTCCTGCTCCTGCTGCAAGTAAAGAAAATTTTGTACCAGGTAACTCATTATTATATTCAGTAATTCCTTGACACATTTTACAATTGATTGTAATTTGAAGATTATAGCCAATTTTATTAACTTTCAGCTTCTTTTTAGACAGATCAAGGTTATGGCATGTTAAACAAGGTTGAATAAATATGTTGGTGAGATATTGTTCAGTGTTAACTAATATTGTTGATCCAAATTTATTTTCTTCTATAGTTTTTTGCACCCAATCTTTCAATGAATCCTTATTTTTTTTTTCATACTGATTATATTTTAAATTCTTTGCATATTCAAGGTCGGCTTTAGCATGTTTGAATCTTTTACGTAATGCATCACTTGATTTTTTTGAAGATTCATAATCAATTGCAAGAGCTAAAGTTGCTTCTGAAGATAAGTTTAGACCTGTTTCTTTAATTTCTATTCCTTGACAAATTATTGGATCTTGTGAAATTAACAATGAATTTCTTGCCTTTGCAATTATTTTTTCACCCTTTTTTTGCATAGTGGCAGTTAGCTTTACC